ACACGTATCTATATCAGCCAGTGAAAAAATCTAATTAAAAATACCTTAAAATCAAAAAGACCATTCCTTCTTAGTCCAACGTAAAATGAAATGGGAGTACCACTTTCCAGTGACAGTGTGTAACATTCTATGTAATTTAACAAAAGCTGGAAGGAATGTAATCTTGAAAAAATTAGTGGAACACATAAATCATAAAGAAGACTAGTTTATACCTTCAGAAGAGTTTCTATAATACCTGATTAGCATGGCTACAGATGGAGGCCTCTGTGTCTGCACACATGTATACAAAAAGATGCACTTGCAAATGTATTGTCCCTCTGTGCCTGCTTTTAAATACCATAATATCTGATTGTAAATATATATTTCATTCATAACAATAACTAGTCAGTGTTATCTTTAAAGGAATCAATGAGTCAACTTCATTAAACAGGATATGGAAGTGTAATACATTCCACACGCTAGAAGAAGATTAATGAACTGCTGAGGAGCTCCGTTTTGTTCTACCCAGTGTACGTGTAGCTGCCATGTCAGGGAACAGCAGCTCACGTATTTTCAGATATAGTAAATCGCTCTCAGGCTTTTCAAATAAAGTTGTACTCTACCTTGTATGTAGGGCAGGGCCTGTATATTGAATAAATCATCAGAAGTGTATTCCAGTTCTTTTAAAGAGAGCATGGTAGTGCTCTTTATTTTATATTGATTGTGTTTGCAGAGGAAAATTGAATCCATTCCTTGTCAAGGCCCCTAAACCTCATGTCATAAAGAAGAGGGAAAAAAGGAAAAGATGGATGGAGTTCAGTGGAATTAGCCAGAAAGAATGATGTTTCCCATTGTGTGATGATAAATTTTTTCATCTTGCCCGTATCAAGTGAAAGGTAGCACCTGAAGTACTTTGAAGTAGTTATCTTCAAAGACTTCTTTTAGCAGAATTGGAAATAAGCTTATTGGAGAGTTGTCTTCAACTAGATTTTCTGCCAATTATCAGTCAAAAGCTCCTTCCTGTGCGGAAGTTAACTCAAAAGGAAAAGCAAGTGTTTCTAGGATATACAGCATCTCAGTAGGTGTGGCTATAACACCTCTAAACATTTTATTTTAGTAAAATGCATTTTTTTTAATAACAGAAAAATAAATTAAATTCTCACCTTATTCACAGAGTCAGTATAAATCCATGTCTCTCAAATTAGGGTGTTCTGACCAGTTCCATGGTCTCTACTATGAGCTAGTGAAAGTAGCACTGCATTGATTTTTATGTGCAAATTGAGAATCATGATATTTTAGTAAGAAGCATTTGAAGAATAGTTTTGTTGCTGTTTATGAGCATTTTTGCTTGCTTTTCTTTGGTCGGCGAGTTTCAAATCCATTGCCGTGGGCTTTAAATAAGAATCTTGAGGTATTGGTTTGAAATTGCCTATTACAAGAGGTATTGCATTTAAAAAAAAAGTAGGGGACTTGATTTACAGCTTGGCTTTTGAAGTCCAGGTTGTATTCTTTAGCAGAAGCAAAAGAGTAATACAAGTTGTGGAAAAACACTTAGAGAAATACATGATTAAAGCTTAAATTCCCAGCACCCTTTTCCTTATTTACTGATTACTGGACTAGTTAACACAAATGTGGGTGCATTCTATATCAAGTACACGTAGATAGAATAAAGCAAACAAACAAAAACCCTGAATGAAGGCAGCAAGTTTGAATTACAAATAGCAAACTGTTCCAGGAATAATTGTTTTAATGATTGTACAATCAGCTATTTACCTATCAGTCCCACCAAATAAACTCTGTGTGTCTGTTCCAAGCACAAATTGTTGTCATAATGAGAAAGTGAATTAAGAGGAAGGTGGTACATGTTGAACCTTACATGTGTGCCGTTGAAGTTTATGTCTGAAATGAGACTTGATCACTTAACTGCGAATTTCTGGAGTGCAGGAAGATATGTTTTTCAGTACCTGAGAACAGATCTGTTACATACCATTAGTAGCCTTTTTCCCAGATTCATTCAGTTTTACTTCTGTTAGGATGCTCTGTTCTTGTTGCTCATCTGGAATTCCACATTATTTATGTTTTTAATTCCAACTTCATGTGTTGGGTTGGGTTTTTTTTCCCCTTCTCCAAGTTCTTGGATTTTTTTAGGGTATTTTATTTGTCTCTGGGAGAAAGTTATAGAGGAGGAGGAAGGGACATAAATAAGATCATAAAACTCTTGACTGACTATAAAGTATCACTTCTTTACAAATATTACAAATAAGATCTAGTAAGCTATACTTTTTTGCTTTATAGCCTAATCTCAACAAGTCTAATAAAATGCTGAAATTATCAGTTCCAATATATCCATTCCGTACTTCAGTCCTTAGTTATTTTACTATTTGTAGATTGTCTCTTTAGTTTGTCCATTTTTGTATATGCATGTATTTTAAATATGTATTTGTATACATATGACTGTGTATGTGCAGAGGTATGTGTAAACATATAGGATCATATATATATATAACTACAATACATTTCTGGGTGATGTTACACAGACACTCTTTGCATCAGTATTTGTAAATGTATAGTTAGATGTTTAATATATCTTCATTGAATATAGTTTATTTATTAGTAAGATTATGGTCTGAAGGAAATCCTCTCTTTAGAAATATTGTATCACATTTCAGATGTGAAGAGGTTTTTTTATGGGGTGTACGGTCACCAATTTAGAAAAGCATTTATGAGAATGATTAACTTAAAGATATTTTTTTCCTGATTGAATGTTTTGCTGAATAGGGGTATCAGTGGTCTGACCAGGATGGTAAAGCCACTGACAGATTTGGGGGTAGAGGCTGCAGCAGTTTTAAGTCAGGTCACAAGGCCAAAGAAATGCATTGGTTTATATTGTTATGGGGCTTGGGAATTCAGAGGACCCTGAAACCTAAATGCTTTGTCAGCTGGCAAAGAGGTAAGAATTATTGTCTCCCATGTGCCTTAAGTAAGTGTCCTAAGCTCCAGTGCCACCAGGAACCATTGGCATAGGCTTCCACTGGGCCAAGTACTTTGTACATCAGATGAGGAAACAGTAACATGAAAAAACCAAAGTCAAGCTGAATGGAAATTCTTGTCTAAGTAAATGACAGAGCTTCTAATGACTTCATGGAGCTACTTCTGGAAGTAAGATCTGACACAAAGTCAAATTTAGAAAGTCTGTACATAATGCTTAATTACACAGTAGGTCAAACAGGATCTAGAAAAGATAATTGAACAGTAACCATTTTTAAATAATAATTAACTTCTCATGGTGCCTCAGGGAATTATACCTCTTTCTTAAGTAAACATATATATATTTATAATTACCTACTTTACAAAGAGACAGGTATATAGTACAAGCTTATTGCTTACAGGGAATCTCAAGAGTTGGAAATTGATATTTCTATAAAAAGCTCTATCTTGAGAGAGCAATGTTATCTTAAAACTACTTTGAAAAAAACAGATAAACCTTTCTGCAAAATACATGGTGTAGCAATTTTCTCCTTAACCTTTAAAAACAAGCCTATAAAATTTGATGTTGTGATCTCATTTCTCTAGTACCTGTTAACAACCTCACTTTGGAAATGGCCTGTCAAATGTTAACTTTCAACCTGTCCTTATTTTTATTGTTTCTTTTTTTCATGGTAGCAGAGAGCTAGAATGTAGGCCTAAATATCAAATTTTGTGCTGTGATGCCACTCAGGGGCCTTAAACATGAACTGTGTTTATTTCAACTTGACTTGCCCATTAGCAAGAGAAGTTGAATTTTCTTTCCTGTGTGCAATACCATAGTGTAAGCAGGATCTGTATTAGTTGTAGGGTTTATACATACATCTTTAGCTGTTTTCAAATGTTTTTTCCCCTCTAGTTCCCTTTCCTCTCTTGGCTTGCTAATCTAGGTGTTTCAGTTTTAGAAACTTTACATACAATGCCATTAGGCAACACGAAAGAATCAGTGACCAAACCAACAAAAAGCTCTTGCTTTTTCTAATTAACTGAATACTTGCTATTGCCTAACATTATTAAGATTGGGGAGGAGGGGGGATTAATGAGATATTTACAGCTGATTAAATGAAGTGAAAAGCATGATTTATCATAAGTTATATCATAAGGTATTCTGTATCACAATAAATTTTCATTGACTACTGACTGTAGTCAATTGACTATTACTGTAGCAGTGTTCATCAGTTTTAGAGTAAGTTTCCCAACATATATTTTTTCAAAAAGGCATAGAACATGTTAATATATTATATATTTGATTGATTATGTAATACATTTGATTGATCAAAACAAGCATTGGTACAGGACAACTTTGTGAATGTAAGTTTCTGTATAATTGGCCACACTCTGTTTAGTTGAAATGTGAATTTCCTTGTATTTTAAGTTCATTGTGGAACTGACCCAAGTCATAAATATTAATGTTCACATTGCTGATCTTTCTGTAAGTGATCACATCTATAAACATTAAGATCTTGTTAGCATGCAATAATGAGTATTACTGTGCATGCAGTCCCACCTTAATACTATAATTCAAATAACTCATCATTGTCTTTTTCCCATATAATCCTCTTAGAGCATCCATTTGGAAAGGGATGTCTTTGTTACCTTATAAGAGATAAATACCTACTATTGTTGATGTCATTGTAGTTGTTCTTATTGCAGTATGCTGTAATTAGTAAACATCAACTTTATATGCTTGCATGTATTTATTACTGGGAAGTGCAACTACAGTGACATCTCATAAACAAACTATTTGTCGAAGATATTGGCTATGCAAATAAGCCAACAGTCATTGCATACAAATAATGGAATGGGAAGAAGAGAGCATAAGGAACTTCTTAAAGAAAATTCCCAAGGAAGAGGACTGTGTTTTTTTAAATTTATGTTGTGGATTAGTTAAATGAAATGTTATTACTTTCTGCAGTAGTTTGGTTTGCTTTTTGTAGTCATGGCTGCTTGTGTTAGGATGTAACTTTGTAATACCAAATATGTTTTTTCTTTGACAGCAACGATAGTGTTAAATGAACTTAACTGGACTGCAGCGTTGGATGATGTATTCAAGCGGAACAGAGAAGAAGACCCCACTTTATTATGGCAGGTTTTTGGTAGTGCAACTGGCCTCGCGAGGTATTACCCAGGTAACTGAAGTCTCCTAAAGAACTGTCCTATGTCAGATATTGCCTTGAAAATATCCTGAATTATTTACAAGCAATAAGAGAGAACTAAAAATTACTTTCTTACATAGATGCAGTTTCTGTATATCAGAAGTAACTCAAGGACTGTGAAATTATTCTGGCATAAAGCTAGTATGAGGGAGAAGAAACTGGGGGTGAAATATATAACTAGTACTTTTTACAGTAAGAGGAACGGAAGAAGATGTCCTTTGAAAAGCTGGAGTTTAATTTTCTTTTTGTATTGTTTTCTATTTCTAATTCTGTTGTGTAAATAATCGGTTGAGTATTTGCCAGTGAGATTTTTGTACCTGTCTAGTTTTTAAAACAGTAACTCAGTGACTAGACATACAATCTTATGGTTAAAGTCAGTGAAAATATGATTGCACCATGCTATGTTTATGTCCTGCAGAATCCACAGTCTCTGACAATTATGTCTTTGCTTGTCTTTGCTGTTAGAGCTAAGGTCAATGAATACAACTTGATAATTTCAACCAGCATCTGTTCCACCTGTTGAAGAATCCCATTACTGGATCACACTAATTAATTTAAATAGATGTATATTTCACTGAATTTAGATCACCAGTAGCCTTAATTTGATTTTTGCTGTGTACTAGCTAATGGAAAGGCTTGTTTTATGCCAAGGCATACTGTCTGTGCTGCTGCTATTCTTGTTAAGTGATGCTGTTATCATTGACAGAATAATGTGTCCACTACACACAAGACAATTGTTTGCAGTGTCTTTGTCTCTTGCCTACAACTGGCTAAGGAAGAACTTTGAGATCCTTTCTCTTCTGTTTATACCAGATTGCTTGTGTTTCTGAGGGTGAAGGGGATTATTCTAAAGCTGTTACTGTATCATTAGCACAATTGCTAGCACAGGCAGAGAAACTGCCTTAGGCTAGTTTACAGGAAGAATATTTCATAGCACTTGAATCCTGTTTGTTTTGTCATGCTAGATGCTCATTAAATACAGTGAGATGTTGCAGAAAAAAATAATATTGAAAATGCTAATTTAATATTTCTTTTATTTCCAAGCATTCTGTTTCAATGCTTTTGGGATATATTAGTACTGTGTTTCGGTTCACCATTTGTCACTGCTTACTATACAGTGATGTTTTGCAAGTGCTGAAAAAGAAACATTTCTTAAATGCATCTCTGTGCCAATCTCTAGGAAATTCATTTTCAAGTGTAAGATTATCTCATATATTGAAAAATATATTCTTATGTCTAGCTAACCTGTCTATTCCAGTTGTTTACCAGCACAACACAGGAGCCTCAGAGTCTCTATGTATTCTTCCTTAGAACATCTCTATAAAATGGGAGAAGCTTGTTTTCCATATTTTGCAGGTGGATATGTTGCTTGTATATACTCCATCTAAACACAAATTTAAATTTGGTATAAAACTCAGATCGTCACACCTCCTGCTTATTCCATAGCTAAGTGCCAAAGTCCTTATTAGCTGTCTAGTCCTGTTAGAACTTAACTTCATAAATTCCTGGGTAATTTCCCAATTCCTAAATTCTGCACACACACACAGAGTAACCTGGAGCAGTCTGACAGTCCTTAAGTTGTATGTGTGTTGTTCTGTGCATGTTCTTCCCACTTCCTTCCATTTATAGCTCAAATAGGTAAGCCCTTTGGGTTTTAGATTTTTAGAATAAGTCTTTGTGCAAGGTTGTCCATCTTTGTCATTTTATAAACTCTTTGTCTCAGTTTGCTGACACACAAAAATGTGCTGACAATGAAATCAAGTTTCATATACTGGAATGGATGCTTTTCACATTTGCTTTTTGAAAATGATATTATAAATTGTAAAACATTGCTTTGTTGTATTGGCCTTAGGTAAGCCTGCTTCAAAGTGATGAATTTCTCCATAGTGATGATATTAGTGAAATAATTTGGAAGTATCAAAAAACAAAATTAAAATGCATAGATGAGTCTGCTCATTATTATCTGAACTATATCCAGTCAGTCTTTCCTCCCTTAAAAAAAAATCGATCTTTGGTAACTCTAAGCTATAGAGGGTTTCTTAAACTAACGTTTTTATCTGATAATAACCCACTGCCTTCAGTAATGGGCTAGGTGGTACATAACTTCTGTCTTAAGTAGGCTCTTGGGCTGTCCTTGTCACCATAGTAACCAGCAGCATGAAGGGATCTCTCTATGAGCGACCTCATGTGTGGAAAGTATGTGTGAAATATAAGATTATTTTTCTATTACATATATCCCATTGTTTCCTACATATATTCTGGTTTTGGTACTGGTGTACACTCCTCTAGCATCACATATACGATTTCATATAATTTTCAGCTGTGCTTTGTCTGACTCTTTGGTACATTTGTGTTCCCTTGTCTCTATCTTGAGGCCAAGGCAGCTTCCTTCTGACTATGACCTAGGTTGAGACATATGACAGTTCCTTTCCTCAGACCTTCTTCTTTATACACTAAAATAAATGGTATTAGGCTTAGATACAATAGTAATTAGATGCAGTAGAATAAGCATAGGAAACTCTATTTTACAAAAATAGCTAACAACATCAGGTAGAGGAAGTAATGGTACCAAAGTATTCGCTTCCTTTAGTGTCATGACTTAATTATTCCATCATAGGTTCCTTATGCAAAATGTCATTTTTACTGAGGAGAAAACCACATTCTATGTGATGTTACCTTTGGTTATGTTTTGAAGAAGAAGAAAATATGTAATCCAGGCAAGCTAAATTTAGGAAGATATTTGTGTAGATGGATAGATACAGATGTGCAAGAAAGCTAAGTATTAGAAATATATATATATATATATTAACACACATATATGTTGATATTTGCAGTGATGGCAGAACCGGTGCCAAGCATAAAAGGGAACTGTATAGCAAGTTCCTATGTTTACCTTACAAGATGCCCCAACAGAAAAATTACAGAATGCATTGAGGTCAGCTTCTCTCTTCATAGATTAATACATTAGTTCTTTTCGTTTATTCAATATTTTTCCCTAGAACATACTCAGTTCAGCTCTCATTCTCAAGCATCAAGACAGAAATGGCAGAGAAGAGCCAAAGATGCAGGAAACCTCATGGGCATCAAACTTGTTTTTCTCCTTTTTCAGTTAGGGTTTTAATCAGCTTGATTTAAAAAGTCAGTATGAGTTTCCTCATACTGAACTTTTTCTTCTTTAAATTATTTAAGCAAGTGGGTCTTGCCTAAAATAATTTTAAAGATTAGTTAGGGTACTTAGTATCAACATTTTCATTAGTTTCAATGGCAGCATATTTGTGAACAGAAATGCTAAGCTCTCTTACTGTGCTGGTAACCATCCATTTTGATATGAAGATGCCAAGAACAATTTTGAGATTTCTATTAGCTATTGTATGAGCTCTGAACAACTCAAGAATTATTAAACAGCTTAATAAAAGAGCTGAGAAGAATAAACAAATAAAGTGAATGGAACTTTTAGGAAGGATAGTATATACTCATTCTTACATTTAAAGTTATATATCACAAATTAGTCTTTCTTTCAAAAGATGGTTTCAGCATTGTAAGAATGCATTCTCCTTTTTACATACATTTATGGAGTTGTATCAGGATCAAGACAGGAATCTCTGTCTTCAGGTGATGAAGATACCTGATAAAATTATTAATTTAAAAGGGAAGTGTACAAGAGGTGGAAGCAAGGACAGATGACCTGGGAGGAACATAGAGACACTGTCCAGACATGTAGAAACATGGTTAGAAAAGCCAAAGCCCACTTGGAGCTGAATCTGGTGAAGGATATGGATAACAAAAAGAGCTTCTACAGGAGCATCAGCAGTAAAAGACTAAGGAAAATATGGACTTGCTGCAGAATGTGGGCCTGCTGCTCCATGCTGGGGCAGAGGACTTGTTGACGAAAGGCACGGAAAAGGCCAAGGTACTCATTACCTTCTTTACCTCAGTCCTTACTCATAAGATCAGCCCCCAGTAATTGCAGGCCTCTGCAATCAGAGGGAAATTCTGGAACAAGGGTGACTTGCCCTCAGTGAAGGAGGATCAGGTTAGGGAACATTTAAACAAACTGGACAAGCACAAGTCTTTGTGACCTGATGGGATGCACCCATGAGTATTGAGGGGAATAGTGGATGTCATTGCAAGGCACTCCTTGATTATCACTGAAAGGTCATGGAAACCAGGAATGGTTCGTGAGGTTCCTTCTTTCCTGAGGAAACAAGTGTCACTTCTATCTTCGGGAAGAGCAAGAAGGAGGATCTGGGGAACTACAAGGTGTCAGACTCATCCTAGTCCCTGGGAAAGTGATGGAGCAAGTCCTTCTGGAAACTCTTTTGAACGATAGTAAAGACAAGAAGGTGATTGGGAGTGGTCAGCATGGGTGAAAGGGGAAATCATGCCTGATCAACCTGATAACGGTCTAGGATGAGATGACGGACTTGGTGGATGAGGGAGAAGCAATGATGTCATTTGTCTTGGCTTCAAGAAGACTTTTGACACTCTTTCCCTTAGCAACCTCATAGACAAACTGATGAAGTACAACTTAGATAAATGGACAGTAAGGTGGACTAAAAAATATCTGAACTGCTGATCTCAAAGGGTTGTGAGAAGTGGCATGAAGTCCAGCCAGTGGCCAGTCAAAAGTGGTGTATCCCAGGATTCAATACTGGGGCCAGTGCTATTCAACGTCTTCATTAGTGACCTGGATGATGGGCAGGCTTCACCCTCAACAAGTCTGTAGAGGTTACAAAACTGGGAGTGGCTGATACACAAGATGGTTGTACTGCCAGAGGGACCTCAACAGGCTGAAGAATTGAGCTGACAGGAATCTCATGGAGTTCAACAAAGGGAAATGTGAAGTTCTGCATCGGGTAGAAGAATAACTGCAAGCACCAGTACCTGCAGGGGTTGACTAGCTGGAAAGCAGCTTTGCAGAAAAAAAACCTGGCGCCCTGATGGACAAGTTGGACATGGCCAACAACAGCCTG